CCCCCCCCCCTGTATGCCATTCTCATAACAAAGTAATCTACTGGTATGCTGCATATGTGATGATGTTGCGTTGGAATAAAAGCTAAGTCAGGGTCCTTCCTTTTTGCTGAAAGACCTTGAGTTTTCTTGTTGGAGTTCTCAGCATCAAAAGATTCAGCTTTTTAATGCAGTGCTAATGTCAGTCTGACTTACCATTTGCACCGAGGTTCATAAATCGCCACGTTGCACGTTAAGATTCTCAGTAAGTTATGAGATACTTAACATGTTTAAGGCAACTGGACTTGATGTGTGGGAGTCCTTTTTTTTTTTTTTTTTTTTTTTTTAAAAACATCCAGTCACAAGGCTTCATCATCACAATGAGCTCTGATGATGCCTTGGTAAAACCCACAGTCTTCATTTCTCTCATGTTCTGGCAAGATTTTAGACATGTCAGTTGTACTGACAGAAGTTGCAGAATCATGCTACACTTTCTATAATATTTAGGAGTTTGACTTTGATCTTGATACAGAAACTGAGTCTAGATCACACTGGAAGTCCAGGTGCCTTCAGGTCTGAAGATTTGGGTTATTCAGGTCATTGTATATCATGAAGTACCAGCTCAAAGGCAGCTGTGCTGGCTGTATCCCAGTCTCAAATAGCAGAGACCATGCATCAAGAACATTTGTCCTTGATTTAGTACTCTCAGATAAACGTAGGGGAAAAATTTGCTGCAGTGGAGACTATGCTTATCTCCACCAGCAGTATCAACAAAAGGGCTGGGTATTTGAAATTTTTTCTAGTGCCAATGGTACTAGTACCAATTCCAGAATAATAGTTTTTCCTAAATGTTTAAAGCCATATAGCACATTTGCCTAAGTACAGTTTAAATTTGGCAGAATTATTAGACATTAGGAACTATCTGGTAAAAGAATGAGCCCCCCTGATCATCTTATTGTGAATTATTGACAATAACTGACTGTTCAACTTTGTTCAACTGGCTTATTTCTTTTGCTATAAAAGGTATTTAAACGATGAGGCCGGTCATTTTCTATTTTAACTGTATTTTCAAAACTCCCAATACAGAGAAAAAAAGCCCTAACAATAAATTTCCTCCAGTCACTGTGTTGTGCATAATCAGACACTGACAAGGCACAGGTATGCATTCATACTTCAAGAGGGTCTGCCTTCAGTTCACCTGCACTGACTGTTTCCAAGCATGTGTACTTGGGCTTTTGCTATATGGACCATCCATGCAGACACGGACTTTTGACCTGCATGCGGATTTCTGCATAGAGTCCCTGCGGACCCTCACAAACATAGGAAGAATTTGGTCACTCCGTCTTAGTGGATGTGGAAAGCATGAATAGCCTCTTATGCTATGTTTCCACTGTCAGAATCTAACAAGCAATATACCCTGTGTTTCCTTTAACCATAACCAAGCATAGCCTCCAGGGTTGACACAAACCATCCTCCTTTGTTTTTCCCACTGTATTTTCTCTCTGCTGTTCTCTGTTTAAAGGAGGGAGGGGCTGCTCCTGTCTCACACAGTCAGCTGTGTGTTGGTGCTTGAGGTGTGAAGACACAGACATTTAACCAATCAGGGTTGACTGCTCTGCATGCACCCACCCCTTCCACCCTCACTTTCCTGGTATTTCATTTTAGTACTACATCCTGAGGGGTGCTGAAATTTCTACCTCTCAGAATGCACCTCCAAAGCGGGCGTGCCATAGTGGAAACAAAGCAGAACCTGTGACAGGCATGACACATTTTGGTAGGTTCGTGTAGAGAACATGAAGATGTCATGCTGTGTTGAATTTTTGGAAAATGTACCATTTTGGAAGGCCCAGGCTCAATTTTCATCATAGAAATATACATTACATACATCTATATGATTCATCTGCAGTCTTTGTGTTATCTGCCAATAGCTGCTAGCTAGGGTTAGCTCCCGAATAGAGAGCTGAGATGTGTGCAGAATCATTTTTCAATTTGTCACTCATAGATGGGATCTCAAGGTCCACTACGAGTTATAGATAAGGTAAATTGACAAGACGTTAAGGAAGAGCAGAGTTAAGTCATTTTTGGTTTTATTTATGTACAGGAAGTGTTTAAAATACTGTTAATATAGAAAATGACCACCTTTATCCTTTTAAATGGGATACCCAGCCCTACTCATTTGACCAGACAGGAATGCAGCAACATGACATCTCCTGCTAAAAATACAACCATGGATTCACTTGCTGTTTAGCCAGTGTACCCACAGTACACATCTCTTCTTAGGGTGATACAAGGCCATTCTGGGCAGTAAAAAGAACCTCTAAGTAAATGAAAACACTTCATAGTTCTTGGCATGCACTGAGTGGCACAACCTGTGTGAGAGTATCCACAAATGTGATCCCCCCCCCCTTTAATATTGTGCTGACATAATGTGCTGGGTTTGACTCGACTATGTCTTTTCTTGCCACTGGAATCATTAGAAGATGGGGGAAAATTTGTTTTAGCTATATAGAAGTTTTATAAGGCATGTAAATTAACAGCTTATATTGAATTTGAATGTGGTCAGAAAGTGGCCATGACACATTTGAACATATTTCTATTTAAATGTTTTTGATGTGCCTATTGATTAGTCCATTTGCCAGTCAGAATGCTGCTATATCTGGTGAAAATGTGCAATTTTGGTGTACAATACTGTTGAATGTAATAAAGAAATAGACATTTCTTACCTTGGTAAACTGTCCTAAGGGACTCCACTTCCTGTCGTCTCTGCTGAATGCTTTTGCAAGGGCAAACCTACGCATTTATGCATTACTCCTCCATATGATGATTTCCCCAAGCTTGCTTTCACTTTGACCAGGCCTGCCAGTCATCCTCTTCACAGGAGAGTCAGCAGTGTGTTGTGCAGTGCAGCTGATAATAAGAGATACCAGGGATATATTAGCTACTGTGCCTGACATCTAGCCTGAAGTCTGCTTACAGTTGCACAGTTTTGTTTGTTTTGCAGGACGTGTTGGCTCAGACCTCTGCATACAGTCTTGCACCACAGAGGTTGAAAAAGACTTTATCAAAGTGAATGTATATTATTTTCAAGCCTATGTTACCAACTGGGCAAAATGGGCAACTGCTCATGGGCCCCAAATCTACAAAAGCACCACATCCAATATGTACTTTGTGGATTCTGTTTATGCATAAAGTGCATATTCAAAAATTAATCATACTGTACATTACCAGTCAAATGTTTGGACACACTTTGCCATTCAGTTCAACAGTAAAGTGTGTCCAAACCTTTGACTGGTAGTGAATGTATGTAATACTTGTTCCTGAAATTCTGACTGTACATAATTTTTATATATTCATATATTTAGACTTTTATGATAAGTAATGGCACTTTAGAATGATGTTTGTACTAACATGAGCACAAGGGCACAGAAAAACAGTTTTTGTACATGAGCTGAAGAAATTGGCCAATGTATGAATAATTTCTCTAAGTCCAAATATAACCAGTCTTGTTTTTCATGGATGTAGTTAGGAAGATGATTTTATTCTTACCAACAGACCTGTAATTGGTCAGCTGTTTCTTTAGCTGAAAAACATGTAATGGGCACAACACCAGGCCTTTGAATTACTGAACAATACAAGACATGGATGACATAAAAGCTGATTTTAGAACCAGTGTAGTATTTATCAGGAAGAAGACCACTTAACAGCTGATTTAAAACCTTTAAAAATGGAAATAGGAAAGGAAAGAGGCACCCAACCTGTTTCTTAGGCTTCAGGGCAACAATGTGTTTTGTTTACGAACACCTAATGTAAAGATCTGTTTTACAGAAAACATCCACAAAGTACCTTTTACTACAAATTTTAATGTGCAAGTTATTCAAAAAAGCTAATCAAAATTTGAATACTTGATCTATAGATTCAAAATAATGTATAAACCACTAATATACATTTACCAATGTCTAAAATGACACTCAAGAAAGTGTGTAGTGCATAGTAGCAAGGTGTTCCTTGACAATCCACAACATGTTTTGTGAACTGATGAAACTAAGGTTAAATAGTTTGGGAAGAACATGCACTACTGTGCAGGGTGTAAAAAGGACACTGCATACTGGCATGAAAACATCATACAAAAAGGCAAAGTCTGGTGGAGGGAGCGTCATGGTGTGGGGCTGCTTTGCTGCCTCCAGGTCTGGACAGCTGCCACTACAGACTGGAAAATGAATTCCCTGGTCTATCGAGGTATCCTATGGGATAATGCCAGAGTGGCTGTCCACCAGCTGAAGCTCAGTAGAGGCTGGGCAATGCAGCAGGACAGTGACCCTAAACATTAGAAGTAAACCTACTGCAGAGCGGTTTCAAACAAAGAAAGTGGCCCAGTCAGAGCTCAGACCTTTAACCCAGTAGTGAACACTACGCAGTTCTGATCCATGGCTACAGGAAGAGCCAAAGGAGGTTACTGCTGTAAATCTAAGGGGCCACTTACATTTTCCACAACTGTGAATGCTTAATGTTAAGTGTTTGATAAAGACATGAAATATTAGAATTGTTTATGTAGAAAATGATTGATTATTGAATTAATGCAGAAAATAAGGTCATTCAGAACAGGGTTGTATACTTTATCTGTCCACTGTGATGAGCTGAGTTTGATTTGCTCCAGATTTGTGATTATAAAGGATGCAGTCCTTAATCAGCTTCCTCCCCGGGATTTATTATACAGCCAACAGCGAATAATGAGTGTGCCCAGAGCTTTGAAGCTCACTTTAATCAGAGCTCTGAAGAGTATTACTAAGCAACAAGAACTTGTAGATGTCTCAGGAGGATGCATGGTGACAGTGGGTGAAGTGATGTTCACCAAAGGAGATGAGATAAAGTGAAGGAGGCACTTCTGGTTATAGCACTGTGTGTACCACGCTGGCATTGTCAGTTTTTCATTTTAGTATCCCTCAGTTTTATAGCGTATGATGGGTGTTCACACAGCAACACTATCTGCTTGA